GCGGAAGGATACGCACATGTGCAGGAAGTGCAGCGGGCGCTCTCCATTCGCGATCGCCGATGACCGATGATGCTCGCAACCCTCCCATGCCCTTTCTCGCTTAGTAATAGGACCAGAAAAGCGCAGCCACATGACCCGGCGGAAAAAAAACGCACGGAACGAGCGCTTGCAGCCCCAAAATTCGGAAGGATACGAACATGTGCAGGAAGTGGAGCGGGCGATCTCCATTTGCGATCGCTGATGACCGATGATGCTCGCAACCCTCCCACGCCCTTGCTGGCTTGGTAATACGACCAGACAAGCGCAGCCACGTGACCCGGTGGAAGAAAAACGCTCGGAACGAGCGCTTCCAGCACCAAAATACGGAAGGATACGCACATGTGCAGGAAGTGCAGCGTGCGCTCTCCATTCGCGATCGCCGATTATCGATGATGCTCGCAAACCTCCCACGCCCTTGCTAGCTTGGTAATACGACCAGAAAAGCGCAGCCACGTGACCCGGCGGAAGAAAAATGCTCGGAACGAGCGCTTCCAGCCCCAAAATGCGGAAGGATATGCACATGTGCAGGAAGTGCAGCGGGCGCTCTCCATTCGCGATCGCCGATGACCGATGATGCTCGCAACCCTCCCATGCCCTTGCTGGCTTGGTAATAGGACCAGAGAAGCGCAGTTACGTGACCCGGCGGAAGAAAAACGCTCGGAACGAGAGCTTGCAGGCCCAAAATGCGGAAGGTTACGCACATGTGCAGGAAGTGCAGCGGGCGCTCTCCATTCGCGATCGCCGATGACCGATGATGCTCGCAACCCTCCCATGCCCTTGCTGGCTTGGTAATAGGACCAGAGAAGCGCAGTTACGTGACCCGGGGGAAGAAAAACGCTCGAAACGAGCGCTTCCAGCCCCAAAATGCGGAAGGATACGCACATGTGCAGGAAGTGCAGCGGGTGCTCTCCATTCGCGATCGCCGATGACCGATGATGCTCGCAAACCTCCCATGCCCTTGCTGGCTTGGTAATTGGACCAGAAAAGCGCAGCCACGTGACCCTGTGGAAGAAAAACGCACGGAACGAGCGCTTGCAGCCCCAAAATGCGGAAGGATACGAACATGTGCAGGCATTCAACCTGGAGAAGTTCTCTGGGGATGATTGGGCATCATGGAGCTTCAGGATGGAGCTCCTCTTCAACCATTATGGGCTGCTTGAAGTGATGGATGGAGAATTCAAGAGGCCTACGAGCGAAGGAGCGACCAAAGAATGGGATCGCCGGTCCAAGGATGGATTCTTCCTTCTCTCCCAATGCCTCTCATCCAACCAGCTGCACCACATCAAGCATCTCATCAAGGAAGCTGAGTGTGGTCCTAAGGCATGGAGGATATTGAAGGATGTCCATGCCCCCAGCAGCGAAGCAATGGTGGTGGTGCTCGAGCGACAACTCCATGCGGTGAAGATCAACGAGGGTGATGCCGTACAAGGAGCGTTCGATCAACTCCGGGACCTCTATGTGAAGCTCTCAGCTGCTGGTGTGGACTACCCTGAGAAAATCAAGTGCTACAAGGCTCTCTCCCTGCTGCCGGAGTCGTGGGGGCCCTTGGTGGTCAACCTTAATGGGATGAAGGACTCGTGGTCCCTTGAGTGGATTCGCGCACAAGTTCTTCAAGAGGAGTTTCGGAGGAAGGAGCTGACCGCCGCTGCCGGTGAAGGTGGAGGCTCTGCCTATGGCATGAAGGGCTTCAAGGGGCGTGGCAGCAAGAAAGGGAAGGCCAAGGAAGGCTCTGGAGGGGAGCAGCATTCGGGAGGGAAGCGTGGCAACAAGGGAGGCAAGCGGTGTGGCGGCAAGTGTTGGTATTGCCATGTGGAAGGGCACCCATGGTTCAAGTGCCGCAAGCTACCTGACGGTTGGAGGCCTGGTCAGCCATCAATTGAGGGCTCCAAGGGTGTTCATGGAGCTATGGGAGAAGGCATGGGCAGTGAGGATGGCGAAGGAGGTGCTGGCGGATACGGCGGCATGTTCTACCATGTAGGGGAGGCGTGCCCCGAGGACATGGTTGTGCCGGCCAGCAAGATTGCTCTTCACCGCTCCTCCCATTGGGTCATCGACACGGGAGCCTTCATGACCATGACCAACCGAGAGGATCTACTGGATGAAGTTAGGCCATCAAAGGCAGCCACCGTCGTTTCAGCCACCGGCCAAGTTGTACCCGTGCGTGGCGAGGGGAGAGCCATGTTCATGGGTGCGGATGGGAGGCTTGTGGGGCTGAAGCGTGTTCTCCTTGTTCCTGGATTGTGTGCCAACCTCCTCTCTACCAAGGCCCTAAGTGAGGCAGGGATGAAGATGGAGATGTTGGGCACAAAGGTTTTCAAGGCAACTCTGGATGGGCGCGTATTGTGGGACCTCCGAGGCGGCAAGGACATGCACCGGTCCATGTGGGAGATACCGGTGCTGCCATGGAAGGAAGCGGCTGCGCGCTTGGCTGCTGGAGATGTGAGAGGAGGGCGTGTTAACCACGTGGACAATGGAGGGGGTGGTGATGACAGTGATGGTGGGCTCCTTGGGCATGGAGGGGCTGCGCTTCCAAGTGTAACTCCTAGCACGGGTGAGACGGATTGGCTCACCGCACACCGTCGCTTTGGCCACGTGGCGCTACCTCAGTTGCAGCAGCTGTTTAAGGAGGAAAGAGTCAAGGGGCTGAGGATAAAGGGGGAGCCCAAGGAGGTGGGATCTTGTGAGACTTGCTTGACCAGCAAGTTTTCACGGTTTCCCTTCCATTCGGTGGAGGGGAAGTCGAGTGACCCGGTGGAGCTCGTGCATGTGGATCTCGTGGGACCCATGAAGGTGAAGGGAGATGGTGGGGCCCTGTATTCTATGACCATGGTGGATGACAACACAAGGCTCACCTGGTCCTTTCCACTTGCAAAGAAGAGTGATGCTGCAAGGGTCATCATTGAAGAGTGGCTGCCCATGGTGGAGCGAGAGAGCGGCAAGCGGGTGAAGGCGATACGTAGTGACCGTGGTGGGGAGTTCTTGGGAGCGGAGTTCCGGAGCTGGCTGAAGCGGCATGGCATCAAGCAGCAGCTCACCACGGCCTACACCCCTCAATCCAATGGCGTGGCAGAGAGAGCGAACCGGACCATCTTGGAGGGCGGGAGAACGATGTTGGTAGACTCGGGTCTACCCTTACGGTTCTGGCCCCTCGCTATTCGCCATGCCATCATCATCAAGAACCGAGTATTGACTCATGTGGGAGGGCAGCATTGGGTCCCTATGGAGAAATGGAGGGGCAAGAAGCCTCTGGTGGATATGCTTCGAGTCTTTGGGTGCATGGGACTCGTGCACGTCCCTAAGGAAAAGCGTGACAAGCTTCAAGCGGCGGCGGTGTGGGCTGTTCATTTGGGACTTGCACAAGGGAGCAAGGGGTGGCTCATGTGGGACCCAATAGCCAACACCATCTTCACCACCAGAGATGCCAAGTTCATGGAGGGGCTCATGTTCAAGGAGTGGTTGGAGCGAGGGAGGAGCAAGGTCACCATTCCGCTCGGAATAGAGGTGGGAACGAATGACCCACTCTTCATTCCCATCGAGTTGTCTTCGTCTTCAGAGGTAACGGAGGTGTCACATGACTTGGGAGGTGCTGAAGGGGAGGCAGTAGAGGTGGAGGGAGTGTTGCAGCAAGAGAAGGCCCCTGTAGCTGAGAGAGGTGATGCCGAGGAGGAGGTGCAGCAGCCTACACCATCCCCTACTCTTCCACCAAGGCGGACAACCCAAGGGAAGCGTGGTGCTGTCCGTGGTGGAGCTAAGGAGAGTGCAGCCAAGGAGAGGCCCAAGAGAGCTGCTCACCCAAGGGATTTCCTCAAGTATGAAAGGCTTGGGGGTCCCAAGGCATTGCTGGTCCAGGAGGAGGAAGATGATGAGGAGAAGGGAGCCGAGGGAGAGATGGAGCAGATTTGTTGCTTCGGTGTCAACTTACCTCATGAACCGGCTTCGATGGAGGAAGCACTTGCTGGAGATGATCGAGAGGCTTGGTTGGCTTCAAGGGAGGATGAGTTTAAGAGCCTCATGGAGAATGGAACGTGGACCCTCACCAATCTGCCCCCGGGAAGAAAGGCATTGGATTGCACGTGGATATTACGTGTGAAGACCGATGCGGAGGGGAAGTTGGAGAGGCGCAAAACAAGACTTGTGATCAAGGGTTTCCAGCAGAGGGAGGGGGTTGACTTTAAGGAGGTGTTTGCTCCTGTTGCCAAGGCTCCTACGCTCCGGGTGTTGCTGGCAGCAGCTGCCGTTTGTGGTTGGAAGGTGGAGCAAATGGATGTGAAGACGGCTTTCCTCTATGGCGTGGTAGATGAGGAGATTTACATCCGCGACCCCTAAGTGGACTGCAGACTATAACAGCAAGGTGATGGAAGGAGGGAGAATGGGGCGGGGTGATGGAAGGAGGGAGAATAGGGCGGGGTGATGGAAAGCGGGAGAATGGGGCGGGGTGATGGAAAGCGGGAGAATGGGGCAGGGTGATGGAAGGAGGGAGAATGGGGCGGGGTGATGGAAGGAGGGAGAATGTGGCGGGGTGATGGAAAGCGGGACGATGGGGCGGGGTGATGGAAAGAGCGAGAATGGGGCGGGGTGATGGAAAGCGGGAGAATGGGGCAGGGTGATGGAAAGCGGGAGAATGGGGATGGAAAGCGGGAGAATGGGGCGGGTTGATGGAAAGAGCGAGATTGGGGCGGGGTGATAGAAAGCGTGAGAATGGGGCTGGTTGATGGAAAGCGGGAGAATGGGGCGGGGTGATGGAAAGCGGGAAAATTGGGCGGGGTGATGGAAAGCGGGAGAATGGGGCGGGGTGATGGAAAGCGGGCGAATGGGGCGGGGTGATGGAAAGCGGGAGAATGGGGCGGGGTGATGGAAAGTGGGAGAATGGGGCGGGGTGATGAAAAGCGGGAGAATGGGGCGGGGTGATCAAAAGCGGGAGAATGGGGCGGGGTGATGGAAAGCGGGAGAATGGGGCGGGGTTATGGAAGGAGGGAGAATGGGGCGGGGTTATGGAAGGAGGGAAAATGGGGCGGGATGATGGAAAGCGGGAGAATGGGGTGGGGTGATGGAAAGCGGGAGAATGGGGCGGGGTGATGAAAAGCGGGAGAGTGGGGCGGGGTGATGGAAGGAGGGAGAATGGGGCGGGGTGAAGGAACGCGGGAGAATGGGGCGGGGTGATGGAAAGCGGGAGAATGGGGCGGGGTGATGGAAGGAGGGAGAATGAGGCGGGGTGATGGAAAGCGGGAGAATGGGGCGAGGTGATGGAACGCGGGAGAATGGGGCGGGGTGATGGAAAGCAAAAGAATGGGGCGGGTTGATGGAAAGCGGGAGAATGGGGCGGGGTGATGGAACGCGGGAGAATGGGGCGGGGTGATGGAAAGCAAAAGAATGGGGCGGGGTGTTAGAAAGCGGGAGAATGGGGCAAGGTGATGGAAGGAGGGAGAATGGGGCGGGGTGATGGAAGGAGGGAGAATAGGGCGGGGTGATGGAAAGCGGGAGAATGGGGCGGGGTGATGGAAAGCGGGAGAATGGGGCAGGGTGATGGAAGGAGGGAGAATGGGGCGGGGTGATGGAAGGAGGGAGAATGTGGCGGGGTGATGGAAAGCGGGACGATGGGGCGGGGTGATGGAAAGAGCGAGAATGGGGCGGGGTGATGGAAAGCGGGAGAATGGGGCAGGGTGATGGAAAGCGGGAGAATGGGGATGGAAAGCGGGAGAATGGGGCGGGTTGATGGAAAGAGCGAGATTGGGGCGGGGTGATAGAAAGCGTGAGAATGGGGCTGGTTGATGGAAAGCGGGAGAATGGGGCGGGGTGATGGAAAGCGGGAAAATTGGGCGGGGTGATGGAAAGCGGGAGAATGGGGCGGGGTGATGGAAAGCGGGCGAATGGGGCGGGGTGATGGAAAGCGGGAGAATGGGGCGGGGTGATGGAAAGTGGGAGAATGGGGCGGGGTGATGAAAAGCGGGAGAATGGGGCGGGGTGATCAAAAGCGGGAGAATGGGGCGGGGTGATGGAAAGCGGGAGAATGGGGCGGGGTTATGGAAGGAGGGAGAATGGGGCGGGGTTATGGAAGGAGGGAAAATGGGGCGGGATGATGGAAAGCGGGAGAATGGGGTGGGGTGATGGAAAGCGGGAGAATGGGGCGGGGTGATGAAAAGCGGGAGAGTGGGGCGGGGTGATGGAAGGAGGGAGAATGGGGCGGGGTGAAGGAACGCGGGAGAATGGGGCGGGGTGATGGAAAGCGGGAGAATGGGGCGGGGTGATGGAAGGAGGGAGAATGAGGCGGGGTGATGGAAAGCGGGAGAATGGGGCGAGGTGATGGAAAGCAGGAGAATGGGGCGGGTTGATGGAAAGCGGGAGAATGGGGCGGGGTGATGGAACGCGGGAGAATGGGGCGGGGTGATGGAAAGCAAAAGAATGGGGCGGGGTGTTAGAAAGCGGGAGAATGGGGCAAGGTGATGGAAGGAGGGAGAATGGGGCGGGGTGATGGAAGGAGGGAGAATAGGGCGGGGTGATGGAAAGCGGGAGAATGGGGCGGGGTGATGGAAAGCGGGAGAATGGGGCAGGGTGATGGAAGGAGGGAGAATGGGGCGGGGTGATGGAAGGAGGGAGAATGTGGCGGGGTGATGGAAAGCGGGACGATGGGGCGGGGTGATGGAAAGAGCGAGAATGGGGCGGGGTGATGGAAAGCGGGAGAATGGGGCAGGGTGATGGAAAGCGGGAGAATGGGGATGGAAAGCGGGAGAATGGGGCGGGTTGATGGAAAGAGCGAGATTGGGGCGGGGTGATAGAAAGCGTGAGAATGGGGCTGGTTGATGGAAAGCGGGAGAATGGGGCGGGGTGATGGAAAGCGGGAAAATTGGGCGGGGTGATGGAAAGCGGGAGAATGGGGCGGGGTGATGGAAAGCGGGCGAATGGGGCGGGGTGATGGAAAGCGGGAGAATGGGGCGGGGTGATGGAAAGTGGGAGAATGGGGCGGGGTGATGGAAAGCAGGAGAATGGGGCGGGGTTATGGAAGGAGGGAGAATGGGGCGGGGTTATGGAAGGAGGGAAAATGGGGCGGGATGATGGAAAGCGGGAGAATGGGGTGGGGTGATGGAAAGCGGGATAATGGGGCGGGGTGATGAAAAGCGGGAGAGTGGGGCGGGGTGATGGAAGGAGGGAGAATGGGGCGGGGTGAAGGAACGCGGGAGAATGGGGCGGGGTGATGGAAAGCGGGAGAATGGGGCGGGGTGATGGAAGGAGGGAGAATGAGGCGGGGTGATGGAAAGCGGGAGAATGGGGCGAGGTGATGGAAAGCAGGAGAATGGGGCGGGTTGATGGAAAGCGGGAGAATGGGGCGGGGTGATGGAAGGAGGGAGAATGGGGCGGGGTGATGGAAGGAGGGAGAATGGGGCGGGGTGATGGAAAGCGGGAGAATGGGGCGGGGTGATGGAAAGCGGGAGAATGGGGCGGGGTGATGGAAAGCGGGTGAATGGGGCGGGGTGATGGAAGGAGGGAGAATGGGGCGGGGTGATGGAAGGAGGGATAATGGGGCGGGGTGATGGAAAGCGGGAGAATGAGGCGGTGTGATGGAAAGCGGGAGAATGGGGCGGGTGATGGAACGCGGGAGAATGGGGCAGGGTGATGGAAAGAGTGAGAATGGGGCGGGGTGATGGAAAGCGGGAGAATGGGGCGGGGTGATGGAAAGCGGGCGAATGGGGCGGGGTGATGAAAAGCGGGAGAATGGAGCAGGGTGATGGAAGGAGGGAGAATGGGGCGGGGTGATGGAAGGAGGGAGAATGGAGCGGATGATGGCAAGCGGGAGAATGGGGCGGGGTGATGGAAGGACGGAGAATGGGGCGGGGTGATGGAAAGCGGGAGAATGGGGCAGGGTGATGGAAAGCGGGAGAATGGGGCGGGGTGATGGAAAGCGGGAAAATGGGGCGGGGTGAAGGAAAACGGGAGAATGGGGCGGGGTGATGGAAAGCGGGAGAATGGGACGGGGTGATGGAAAGCGGGAGAATGGGGCGGGGTGATGAAAAGCGGGAGAATGGGGCGGGGTGATCAAAACCGGGAGAATGGGGCGGGGTGATGGAAAGCGGGAGAATGGGGCGGGGTTATGGAAGGAGGGAGAATGGGGCGGGGTTATGGAAGGAGGGAAAATGGGGCGGGATGATGGAAAGCGGGAGAATGGGGTGGGGTGATGGAAAGCAGGAGAATGAGGCGGGGTGAAGGAAGGAGGGAGAATGAGGCGGGGTGATGGAAAGCGGGAGAATGGGGCGAGGTGATGGAAAGCAGGAGAATGGGGCGGGTTGATGGAAAGCGGGAGAATGGGGCGGGGTGATGGAAGGAGGGAGAATGGGGCGGGGTGATGGAAGGAGGGAGAATGGGGCGGGGTGATGGAAAGCGGGAGAATGGGGCGGGGTGATGGAAAGCGGGAGAATGGGGCGGGGTGATGGAAAGCGGGAGAATGGGGCGGGGTGATGGAAGGAGGGAGAATGGGGCGGGGTGATGGAAGGAGGGATAATGGGGCGGGGTGATGGAAAGCGGGAGAATGAGGCGGTGTGATGGAAAGCGGGAGAATGGGGCAGGGTGATGGAAAGAGTGAGAATGGGGCGGGGTGATGGAAAGCGGGAGAATGGGGCGGGGTGATGGAAAGCGGGAGAATGGAGCGGGGTGAAGGAAAGCGGGAGAATGGGGCGGGGTGATGGAAAGCGGGAAAATGGGGCGGGGTGAAGGAAAACGGGAGAATGGGGCGGGGTGATGGAAAGCGGGAGAATGGGACGGGGTGATGGAAAGCGGGAGAATGGGGCGGGGTGATGAAAAGCGGGAGAATGGGGCGGGGTGATCAAAAGCGGGAGAATGGGGCGGGGTGATGGAAAGCGGGAGAATGGGGCGGGGTTATGGAAGGAGGGAGAATGGGGCGGGGTTATGGAAGGAGGGAAAATGGGGCGGGATGATGGAAAGCGGGAGAATGGGGTGGGGTGATGGAAAGCGGGAGAATGGGGCGGGGTGATGAAAAGCGGGAGAGTGGGGCGGGGTGATGGAAGGAGGGAGAATGGGGCGGGGTGAAGGAACGCGGGAGAATGGGGCGGGGTGATGGAAAGCGGGAGAATGGGGCGGGGTGATGGAAGGAGGGAGAATGAGGCGGGGTGATGGAAAGAGGGAGAATGGGGCGAGGTGATGGAAAGCAGAGAATGGGGCGGGTTGATGGAAAGCGGGAGAATGGGGCGGGGTGATGGAAGGAGGGAGAATGGGGCGGGGTGATGGAAGGAGGGAGAATGGGGCGGGGTGATGGAAAGCGGGAGAATGGGGCGGGGTGATTGAAAGCGGGAGAATGGGGCGGGGTGATGGAAAGCGGGAGAATGGGGCGGGGTGATGGAAGGAGGGAGAATGGGGCGGGGTGATGGAAGGAGGGATAATGGGGCGGGGTGATAGAAAGCGGGAGAATGAGGCGGTGTGATGGAAATCGGGAGAATGGGGCGGGTGATGGAAAGCGGGAGAATGGGGCAGGGTGATGGAAAGAGTGAGAATGGGGCGGGGTGATGGAAAGCGGGAGAATGGGGCGGGGTGATGGAAAGCGGGAGAGTGGAGCGGGGTGAAGGAAAGCGGGAGAATGGGGCGGGGTGAAGGAAAGCGGGAGAATGGGGCGGGGTGATGGAAAGCGGGAGAATGGGGCGGGGAGATAGAAAGCGGGAGAATGGGGCGGGGTGATGGAAAGCGGGGGATTGAGGCGGGGTGATGGAAAGCGGGAGAATGGGGCGGGGTGATGAAAAGCGGGAGAATGGGGCGGGGTGATGGATGGTGGGAAAATGGGGCGGGGTGATGGAAGGAGGGAGAATGGGGCGGCGTGATGGAAAGCGGGAGAATGGGGCAGGGTGATGGAAAGCGGGAGAATGGGGCGGGGTGATGGAAGGAGGTAGAATGGGGCAGGGTGATGGAAGGAGGGAGAATGGGGTGGGGTTTAGGGTTTAGGGAAAATGGGGTGGGGTGATGGAAAGCGGGAGAATGGGGCGGGGTGATGGAAAGCGGGAGAATGGGGTAGGGTGATGGAAAGCGGGAGAATGGGGCGGGGTGATGGAAAGCGGGAGAATGGGGCGGGGTTATGGAAAGCAGGAGAATAGGGTGGGGTGATGGAAAGCGGGAGAATGGGGCGGGGTGATGGAAAGCGGGAGAGTGGGGCGGGGTGATGGAAAGCGGGAGAATGGGGCGGGGTGATGGAAAGTGGGAGAATGGGGCGAGGTGATGGAAAGCGGATGGGGCGGGGTGACGGAAAGCGGGAGAATGGGGCAGAGTGACGGAAAGAGGGAGAATGGGGCGGGGTGATGGAAGGAGGGAGAATGAGGCGGGGTGATGGAAGGAGGGAGAATGGAGCAGGGTTATGGAAGGAGGGAGAATGGAGCGGGGTGATGGAAAGCGGTAGAATGGGGCGGGGTGATGAAAAGCGGGAGAATGGGGCGGGGTGATGGAAGGAGGGAGAATGGGGCAGGGTGATGGAAAGAGGGAGAATGGGGCGGCGTGATGGAAAGCGGGAGAATGGGCCGGGGTGATGGAAAGCGGTAGAATGGGGCGGGGTGATGGAAAGCGGGAGAATGGGGCGGGGTGATCGAAAGCGGGAGAATGGGGCAGGGTGATGGAAAGCGGGAGATTGGGGCGGGGTGATGGAAAGCGGGAGAATGGGGCGGGGTGATGGAAAGCGGGAGAATGGGGCGGGGTGATGGAAAGCGGGAGAATGGGGCGAGGTGATGGAAAGCGGGAGAATGGGGCGGGGTGACGGAAAGCGGGAGAATGGGGCAGGGTGACGGAAAGAGGGAGAATGGGGCGGGGTGATGGAAGGAGGGAGAATGAGGCGGGGTGATGGAAGGAGGGAGAATGGAGCAGGGTTATGGAAGGAGGGAGAATGGAGCGGGGTGATGGAAGGAGGGAGAATGGGGCGGGGTGATGGAAGGAGGGAGAATGGGGCGGGGTGATGGAAGGAGGGAGAATGGGGCGGGGTTATGGAAAGCGGGAGAATGGGGCGGGGTGATGGAAAGCGGGAGAATGGGGCGGGGTGATCGAAAGCGGGAGAATGGGGCGGGGTGATGGAAAGCGGGAGATTGGGGCGGGGTGATGGAAAGCGGGAGAATGGGGCGGGGTGATGGAAAGCGGGAGAATGGGGCGGGGTGATGGAAAGCGGGAGAATGGGGCGAGGTGATGGAAAGCGGGAGAATGGGGCGGGGTGACGGAAAGCGGGAGAATGGGGCAGGGTGACGGAAAGAGGGAGAATGGGGCGGGGTGATGGAAGGAGGGAGAATGAGGCGGGGTGATGGAAGGAGGGAGAATGGAGCAGGGTTATGGAAGGAGGGAGAATGGAGCGGGGTGATGGAAAGCGGGAGAATGGGGCGGGGTGATGGAAGAAGGGAGAATGAGGCGGGGTGATGGAAGGAGGGAGAATGGAGCAGGGTTATGGAAGGAGGGAGAATGGAGCGGGGTGATGGAAAGCGGTAGAATGGGGCGGGGTGATGGAAAGCGGGAGAATGGAGCGGGGTGATGGAAGGAGGGAGAATGGGGCAGGGTGATGGAAAGAGGGAGAATGGGGCGGCGTGATGGAAAGCGGGAGAATGGGCCGGGGTGATGGAAAGCGGGAGAATGGGGCGGGGTGATGGAAGGAGGGAGAATGGGGCAGGGTGATGGAAGGAGGGAGAATGGGGCGGGGTGATGGAAGGAGGGAGAATGGGGCGGGGTGATGGAAAGCGGGAGAATGGGGCGGGGTGATGGAAAGCGGGAGAATGGGGCGGGGTGATCGAAAGCGGGAGAATGGGGCGGGGTGATGGAAAGCGGGAGATTGGGGCGGGGTGATGGAAAGCGGGAGAATGGGGCGGGGTGATGAAAAGCGGGAGAATGGGGCGGGGTGATGGAAGGAGGGAGAATGGGGCGGGGTGATGGAAGGAGGGAGAATGAGGCTGGGTGATGGAAAGCGGGAGAATGGGGCGGGGTGATGGAAAGCGGGAGAATGGGGCGGGGCGATGGAAGGAGGGAGAAGGGGGCAGGGTGATGGAAGGAGGGAGAATGGGGCGGGGTGATGAAAGGCGGGAGAATGGGGCGGGGTGATGGAAAGCAGGAGAATGGGGCGGGGTGATGGAAAGCGGGAGAATGGGGCGGGGTGATGGAAAGCGGGAGAATGGGGCGGGGTTATGGAAAGCGGGAGAATGGTGCGGGGTGATGGAAGGAGGGAGAATGGGGCGGGGTGATGGAAGGAGGGAGAATGGGGCGGGGTGATGGAAAGCGGGAGATTGGGGCGGGGTGATGGAAAGCAGGAGAATGGGGCGGGGTGATGGAAAGCGGGAGAATGGGGCAAGGTGATGGAAGGAGGGAGAATGGGGCGGGGTGATGGAAGGAGGGAGAATGGGGCGGGGTGATGGAAAGCGGGAGAATAGGGCGGGGTGATGGAAAGCGGGAGAATGGGGCAGGGTGATGGAAGGAGGGAGAATGTGGCGGGGTGATGGAAAGCGGGAGAATGGGGCGGGGTGATGGAAGGAGGGAGAATGGGTCGGGGTGATGGAAGGAGGGAGAATGGGGCGGGGTGATCAAAAGCGGGAGAATGGGGCGGGGTGATGGAAAGCAGAAGAATGGGGCGGGGTGATAGAAAGCAGGAGAATGGGGCAAGGTGTTGGAAGGAGGGAGAATGGGGCGGGGTGATGGAAGGAGGGAGAATAGGGCGGAGTGATGGAAAGCGGGAGAATGGGGCGGGGTGATGGAAAGCGGGAGAATGGGGCGGGGTGATGGAAGGAAGGAGAATGGGGCGGGGTGATGGAAAGCGGGAGAATGGGGCGCGGTGATGGAAAGCGGGAAAATGGGGCGGGGTGATGGAAAGCGGGAGAATGGGGCGGGGTGATTGAAAGCGGGAGAATGGGGCGGGGTGAAGGAAAGCGGGAGAATGGGGAGGGGTGATGGAAAGCGGGGGAATGGGGCGGGGTGATGGAAAGCTGGAGAATGGGGCGGGGTGATGGAAAGCGGGAGAATGGGGCGGGGTGATGGAAAGCGGGAGATTGGGGCGGGGTGATGGAAAGCGGGAGAATGGGGCGGGGTGATGGAAAGCAGGAGAATGGGGCGGGGTGATGAAAAGCGGGAGAATGGGGCGGGGTGATGGAAGGAGGGAGAATGGGGCGGGGTGATGGAAGGAGGGAGAATGAGGCGGGGTGATGGAAAGCGGGAGAATGGGGCGGGGTGATGGAAAGCAGGAGAATGGGGCGGGGCGATGGAAGGAGGGAGAAGGGGGCAGGGTGATGGAAGGAGGGAGAATGGGGCGGGTTGATGAAAGGCGGGAGAATGGGGCGGGGTGATGGAAAGCAGGAGAATGGGGCGGGGTGATGGAAAGCGGGAGAATGGGGCGCGGTGATGGAAAGCGGGAGAACGGGGCGGGGTTATGGAAAGCGGGAGAATGGGGCGGGGTGATGGAAGGAGGGAGAATGGGGCGGGGTGAGGGAAGGAGGGAGAATGGGGCGGGGTGATGGAAAGCGGGAGATTGGGGCAGGGTGATGGAAAGCAGGAGAATGGGGCGGGGTGATGGAAAGCGGGAGAATGGGGCAAGGTGATGGAAGGAGGTAGAATGGGGCGGGGTGATTGAAGGAGGGAGAATGGGGCGGGGTGATGGAAAGCAGGAGAATGCAGCGGGGTGATGGAAGGAGGGAGAATGGGGCGGGGTGATGGAAGGAGGGAGAATGGGGCGGGGTGATGGAAGGAGGGAGAATGGGGCGGGGTGATGGAAAGCGGGAGAATGGGGCGGGGTGATGGAAAGCAGAAGAATGGGGCGGGGTGTTAGAAAGCGGGAGAATGGGGCGGGGTGATGGAAGGAGGGAGAATGGGGCGGGGTGATGGAAAGCGGGAGAATGGGGCGGGGTGATGGAAAGCGGGAGAATGGGGCAGGGTGATGGAAGGAGGGAGAATGGGGCGGGGTGATGGAAGGAGGGAGAATGTGGCGGGGTGATGGAAAGCGGGACGATGGGGCGGGGTGATGGAAAGCGGGAGAATGGGGATGGAAAGCGGGAGATTGGGGCGGGGTGATAGAAAGCGTGAGAATGGGGCTGGTTGATGGAAAGCGGGAGAATAGGGCGGGGTGATGGAAAGCGGGCGAATGGGGCGGGGTGATGAAAAGCGGGAGAATGGAGCAGGGTGATGGAAGGAGGGAGAATGGGGCGGGGTGATGGAAGGAGGGAGAATGGAGCGGATGATGGCAAGCGGGAGAATGGGGTGGGGTGATGGAAGGACGGAGAATGGGGCGGGGTGATGGAAAGCGGGAGAATGGGGCAGGGTGATGGAAAGCGGGAGAATGGGGCGGGGTGATGGAAAGCGGGAAAATGGGGCGGGGTGAAGGAAAACGGGAGAATGGGGCGGGGTGATGGAAAGCGGGAGAATGGGACGGGGTGATGGAAAGCGGGAGAATGGGGCGGGGTGATGAAAAGCGGGAGAATGGGGCGGGGTGATCAAAACCGGGAGAATGGGGCGGGGTGATGGAAAGAGGGAGAATGGGGCGGGGTGATGGAAAGCTGGAGAATGGGGCGGGGTGATGAAAAGCGGGAGAATGGGGCGGGGTGATCAAAAGCGGGAGAATGGGGCGGGGTGATGGAAAGCGGGAGAATGGGGCGGGGTTATGGAAGGAGGGAAAATGGGGCGGGATGATGGAAAGCGGGAGAATGGGGTGGGGTGATGGAAAGCGGGAGAATGGGGCGGGGTGATGAAAAGCGGGAGAGTGGGGCGGGGTGATGGAAGGAGGGAGAATGGGGCGGGGTGAAGGAACGCGGGAGAATGGGGCGGGGTGATGGAAAGCGGGAGAATGGGGCGGGGTGATGGAAGGAGGGAGAATGAGGCGGGGTGATGGAAAGCGGGAGAATGGGGCGAGGTGATGGAAAGCAGGAGAATGGGGCGGGTTGATGGAAAGCGGGAGAATGGGGCGGGGTGATGGAAGGAGGGAGAATGGGGCGGGGTGATGGAAGGAGGGAGAATGGGGCGGGGTGATGGAAAGCGGGAGAATGGGGCGGGGTGATGGAAAGCGGGAGAATGGGGCGGGGTGATGGAAAGCGGGAGAATGGGGCGGGGTGATGGAAGGAGGGAGAATGGGGCGGGGTGATGGAAGGAGGGATAATGGGGCGGGGTGATGGAAAGCGGGAGAATGAGGCGGTGTGATGGAAAGCGGGAGAATGGGGCGGGTGATGGAAAGCGGGAGAATGGGGCAGGGTGATGGAAAGAGTGAGAATGGGGCGGGGTGATGGAAAGCGGGAGAATGGGGCGGGGTGACGGAAGGAGGGAGAATGGGGCGGGGTGATGGAAGGAGGGAGAATGGGGCGGGGTGATGGAAAGCGGGAGAATGGGGCGGGGTGATGGAAAGCGGGAGAATGGGGCGGGGTGAAGGAAAGCGGGAGAATGGGGCGGGGTTATGGAAAGCGGGAGAATGGGGCGGGGAGATAGAAAGCAGGAGAATGGGGCGGGGTGATGGAAAGCGGGGGATTGAGGCGGGGTGATGGAAAGCGGGAGAATGGGGCGGGGTGATGAAAAGCGGGAGAATGGGGCGGGGTGATGGATGGTGGGAAAATGGGGCGGGGTGATGGAAGGAGGGAGAATGGGGCGGCGTGATGGAAAGCGGGAGAATTGGGCAGGGTGATGGAAAGCGGGAGAATGGGGCGGGGTGATGGAAGGAGGGAGAATGGGGCAGGGTGAATGAAGGAGGGAGAATGGGGCGGGGTGATGGAAGGAGGGAGAATGGGGCGGGGTGATGGAAAGCGGGAGAATGGGGCGGGGTGATGGAAAGCGGGAGAATGGGGCGGGGTGATGGAAAGCGGGAGAATGGAGCGGGGTGATGGAAGGAGGGAGAATGGGGCAGGGTGATGGAAGGAGGGAGAATGGGGCGGCGCGATGGAAAGCGGGAGAATGGGGCGGGGTGATGGAAAGCGGGAGAATGGGGCGGGGTGATGTAAGGAGGGAGAATGGGGCAGGGTGATGGAAGGAGGGAGAATGGGGCGGGGTGATGGAAGGAGGGAGAATGGGGCGGGGTGATGGAAAGCGGGAGAATGGGGCGGGGTGATGGAAAGCGGGAGAATGGGGCGGGGTGATGGAAAGCGGGAGAATGGGGCAGGGTGATGGAAAGCGGGAGAACGGGGCGGGGTGATGGAAAGCGGGAGAATAGGGTGGGGTGATGGAAAGCGGGAGAATGGGGCGGGGTGATGGAAAGCGGGAGAGTGGGGCGGGGTGATGGAAAGCGGGAATATGTGGCGGGGTGATGGAAAGCGGGAGAGTGGGGCGAGGTGATGGAAAGCGGGAGAATGGGGCGGGGTGATGGAAAGCGGGAGAATGGGGCGGGGTGATGGAAAGCGGGAGAATGGGGCGGGGTGATGGAAAGCGGGAGAATGGGGCAGGGTGATGGAAAGCGGGAGATTGGGGCGGGGTGATGGAAAGCGGGAGAATAGGGTGGGGTGATGGAAAGCGGGAGAATGGGGCGGGGTGATGGAAAGCGGGACAGTGGGGCGGGGTGATGGAAAGCGGGAATATGTGGCGGGGTGATGGAAAGCGGGAGAATGGGGCGGGGTGATGGAAAGCGGGAGAATGGGGCGGGGTGATGGAAAGCGGGAGAATAGGGCGGGGTGATGGAAAGCGGGAGAATGGGGCGGGGTGATGGAAAGCGGGAGAATAGGGTGGGGTGATGGAAAGCGGGAGAATGGGGCGGGGTGATGGAAAGCGGGAGAGTGGGGCGGGGTGATGGAAAGCGGGAGAATGTGGCGGGGTGATGGAAAGCGGGAGAATGGGGCGGGGTGATGGAAAGCGGGAGAATGGGGCGGGGTGATGGAAAGCGGGAGAATGGGGCGGGGTGATGGAAAGCGGGAGAATAGGGCGGGGTGATGGAAAGCGGGAGAATGGGGCGGGGTGATGGAAAGCGGGAGAATAGGGTGGGGTGATGGAAAGCGGGAGAATGGGGCGGGGTGATGGAAAGCGGGAGAGTGGGGCGGGGTGATGGAAAGCGGGAGAATGTGGCGGGGTGATGGAAAGCGGGAGAATGGGGCGGGGTGATGGAAAGTGGGAGAATGGGGCGGGGTGACGGAAAGCGAGAGAATGGGGCAGGGTGACGGAAAGAGGGAGAATGGGGCGGGGTGATAAAAAGCGGGGGAATGGGGCGGGGTGATGGAAGGAGGGAGAATGGGGCGGGGTGATGGAAGGAGGCAGAATGGGGCGGGGTGATGGAAAGCGGGAGAATGGGGCGGGGTGATGGAAAGCGGGAGAATGGGGCGGGGCGATGGAAGGAGGGAGAAGGGGGCAGGGTGATGGAAGGAGGGAGAATGGGGCGGGGTGATGAAAGGCGGGAGAATGGGGCGGGGTGATGCAAAGCAGGAGAATGGGGCGGGGTGATGGAAAGCGGGAGAATGGGGCGGGGTGATGGAAAGCGGGAGAATGGGGCGGGGTGATGGAAAGCGGGAGAATGGGGCGGGGTGATGGAAGGAGGGGGAATGGGGCGGGGTGATGGAAGGAGGGAGAATGAGGCGGGGTGATGGAAGGAGGGAGAATGGAGCAGGGTTATGGAAGGAGGGAGAATGGAGCAGGGTTATGGAAGGAGGGAGAATGGAGCGGGGTGATGGAAAGCGGGAGAATGGGGCGGGGTGATGAAAAGCGGGAGAATGGGGCGGGGTGATGGAAAGCGGGAGAATGGGGCGGAGTGATGGAAAGCGGGAGAATGGAGCGGGGTGATGGAAGGAGGGAGAATGGAGCAGGGTTATGGAAGGAGGGAGAATGGAGCGGGGTGATGGAAAGCGGGAGAATGGGGCGGGGTGATGAAAAGCGGGAGAATGGGGCGGGGTGATGGAAAGCGGGAGAATGGGGCGGGGTGATGGAAAGCGGGAGAATGGAGCGGGGTGATGGAAGGAGGGAGAATGGGGCAGGGTGATGGAAGGAGGGAGAATGGGGCGGCGCGATGGAAAGCGGGAGAATGGGGCGGGGTGATGGAAAGCGGGAGAATGGGGCGGGGTGATGTAAGGAGGGAGAATGGGGCAGGGTGATTGAAGGAGGGAGAATGGGGCGGGGTGATGGAAGGAGGGAGAATGGGGCGGGGTGATGGAAAGCGGGAGAATGGGGCGGGGTGATGGAAAGCGGGAGAATGGGGCGGGGTGATGGAAAGCGGGAGAATGGGGCAGGGTGATGGAAAGCGGGAGAATGGGGCGGGGTGATGGAAAGCGGGAGAATAGGGTGGGGTGATGGAAAGCGGGAGAATGGGGCGGGGTGATGGAAAGCGGGAGAGTGGGGCGGGGTGATGGAAAGCGGGAATATGTGGCGGGGTGATGGAAAGCGGGAGAATGGGGCGGGGTGATGGAAAGCGGGAGAATGGGGCGGGGTGACGGAAAGCGGGAGAATGGGGCAGGGTGACGGAAAGAGGGAGAATGGGGCGGGGTGATAAAAAGCGGGGGAATGGGGCGGGGTGATGGAAGGAGGGAGAATGGGGCGGGGTGATGGAAGGAGGCAGAATGGGGCGGTGTGATGGAAAGCGGGAGAATGGGGCGGGGTGATGGAAAGCGGGAGAATGGGGCGGGGCGATGGAAGGAGGGAGAAGGGGGCAGGGTGATGGAAGGAGGGAGAATGGGGCGGGGTGATGAAAGGCGGGAGAATGGGGCGGGGTGATGCAAAGCAGGAGAATGGGGCGGGGTGATGGAAAGCGGGAGAATGGGGCGGGGTGATGGAAAGCGGGAGAATGGGGCGGGGTTATGGAAAGCGGGAGAATGGGGCGGGGTGATGGAAGGAGGGAGAATGGGGCGGGGTGATGGAAGGAGGGAGAATTGGGCGGGGTGATGGAAAGCGGGAGAATGGGGCGGGGTGATGGAAAGCAGGAGAATGGGGCGGGGTGATGGAAAGCGGGAGAATGGGGCAAGGTGATGGAAGGAGGGAGAATGGGGCGGGGTGATGGAAGGAGGGAGAATGGGGCGGGGTGATGGAAAGCAGGAGAATGCGGCGGGGTGATGGAAAGCGGGAGAATGGGGCGGGGTGATGGAAGGAGGGAGAATGGGGCGGGGTGATGGAAGGAGGGAGAATGGGGCGGGGTGATGGAAAGCGGGAGAATGGGGCGGGGTGATGGAAAGCGGGAGAATGGGGCGGGGTGATGGAAAGCGGGAGAGTGGGGCGGGGTGATGGAAAGCGAGAATATGTGGCGGGGTGATGGAAAGCGGGAGAATGGGGCGGGGTGATGGAAAGCGGGAGAATGGGGCGGGGTGACGGAAAGCGGGAGAATGGGGCAGGGTGACGGAAAGAGGGAGAATGGGGCGGGGTGATAAAAAGCGGGGGAATGGGGCGGGGTGATGGAAGGAGGGAGAATGGGGCGGGGTGATGGAAGGAGGCAGAATGGGGCGGTGTGATGGAAAGCGGGAGAATGGGGCGGGGTGATGGAAAGCGGGAGAATGGGGCGGGGCGATGGAAGGAGGGAGAAGGGGGCAGGGTGATGGAAGGAGGGAGAATGGGGCGGGGTGATGAAAGGCGGGAGAATGGGGCGGGGTGATGCAAAGCAGGAGAATGGGGCGGG